ACCCCGAGAGAGGTTCCTGTCACTTCCTCAGGAAGGATTGGAACAAGACCTACCGCTCCCTTATTACTAGGTTGCAGGACCACGCGGTACTGGCTGCAGCAGAGTGGAGCTGGAGGAGGTACAGGTACAGGCCCAGGCATCGGCAAAGGCAGCAGCAGCACATCTCGTAGCGGACGACGCACCAGTCGATCCAGCTGCCGAGCACTTAGACATAGACTCAGAGTGCCCTGCAGACGATGCAGAGCAGGACTCTCCAGCCAGGTCGCCCATTCATGAGTAGGAGCAGACTCAGGAGCTTTATTCTGATTCATCTATGCCTGAGACTCCAGATATGACCCCCGGTTTTGGAGTACGTCTGCAGACGCTCGAGGATACTGTTGTTACCATCCGAGCTGACCTCACAACCCACAGAGCTGAGTTTGCCGCCTTCCACACGGATGTCGCGACCATGTTCAAAGATTTATCCAGAGACATCCGCGGAGCCAGACCTGCCCGTCCTACCTCATCTTCCTGAGCTCCCAGTCTTTTCTATCTTATCATCCCTCTCTTCTTTTGATACTTTACTATTGTCACTGTATTATTTTTACAGCCGGTTTGTCGACTTTGATATTTTTGTTGTGCATGCACTTTATCCGTTTTTATTTTTATTTTTATATATCTATTTTTGCTATGGATGTTATATGATTGTATTCTCATATCTGTATGTTTGACTCCATCAGGTGCATCACAGTGACTTCAGTGAGAGAGTGCTACCTAATTTCCAGGACCACCCTTATACCTCTCTCATTTCGTTATCTGTTTATCCCATTTACACTTGCATATCCACTGTGCACTGATTATCCCATTTTGTTATCTGATAAGTTTATCCAAGTGCCAATTTTCAGGACCACAGTTCATCCCAAGTTTGGGGGGGCAATGCCACCCACTTCAGATACTTCAGTCCCGATCATTCTTGCTTAGTTGCACTAGTATACTCTTTCCTTTGTTCTCTTTGCATATTGAGGACATTGTGCAATTTAAGTTTGGGGGGAATGGTGCTCTACAGTGTTAGTTTTAAATTCAAATTTTTAGCACGACTTGTGTATTTGAGGGATATTTCTATGATTGATCCATATCTAGCTATGATTTTGATCTTTTGTGAACTATATTGCTTAAAATTTAAAAATTGCTTGACTTGAGAGTTCAATACTCCTTGTATGCCTTATGAATGCCATTTAGGAGTAAATTTTTTGAAAAATTGATATTATGCTTGCACTTGTGGTCCACATCATCTTGATTTTGTGATTATTTTGAGATTCAATCTAGTATTCTACACTAGCACAGGCGCACACTAGCATTCATTTGTGGGGTACATGCTTTGTTAATTATTGAATTGGTTATATCTCAATTGAGCTAGTAGTGCATTGAAAGCTTTCATTCTTGATAAAGGTTTTCAGTGAAAACCGATGCTTAGCCATCAAATTAATTGACAAACCCATTCAATGAAAACCCATGCTTAGCCATCACTAGATTCTCAATCAACCACACATAGACATGCAATTAATATAGAAAAACTAGTGTAGAGATTAATTCCCAAATAATCACACATAAGACAACATGTAATCAAATAGAGAATCAATAGAAAGAATTAATCCTTATGAATCATGTAATAAATAATTCCTAATTTAATCACACATAGACGTGTAAATAAACTAGAGAATTAATAGGAATAATTAAATCATAGAAATCATAGAAATACACCAAGATTCATTAAATTCATAAGGGTGGAACACTAATCACAACAATATATATAAATCTCCAAAAATAGAAATACAAGGGTTTAGATTACACAAGACTTGGGGCTCATCCAAGCCCTAAGTATAGATCTAGCCAATCATGGAGGAAGTAGATATGGTCATGGAATCAAGCTCCAAATATGGCTCCATCTTTTTCTTCTTCCTTTTCTTCTTTTTCTTCTTTGAAGCTCTAAAAATGGAGAGAGAGAGTGGTCTAGAGATGGATCTTGAGATGTGCCTCCACTTCCCTCTTTTCTTCTAACCCTAATCTATAACTTTGCTAGAGAGAGAAAAAAATACAATGTAAAAAAAATAAAAAGATAAAAAGTTTATTTACAAAATGGGTCACTTTCCTTTATATAGAAGGTCCTTTTCTTAGTCACAAAGTCAGGAATATTGCCCCAAAAATATCTAATCCCGTACTATGTGGTAGGTGGACTTTTGGGCGCACACAGGAATAAGACAGCTCGTTGCCAGCAAAAGTTCGATCGATCAGACAAAAAGTTCGATTGATCCAACTTTGATTTTCGATCGATCCAACTTTGATCGATCTCAGAAAAAGCGATCGATCTCAAAAAAAGTTGGATCGATCCAACTTGGCAGATTTTCAGCATCAGCCTCTTTTTGCTCCGGATCACCACTAAGACTTCGTTTGACTCCAAAAAGGCCTTAAGAAACCATTTTTAGCCCATTTTAATATTATTGACCTGAAATAGACAAAAACACAAATAAGTACTAAAACGGATAAATAAGATAGATAAAGGTACTAGAATACTCAAGCTTAAGGGGTTTAAATACGCACTTTTCAGCGCTCATCACACCCTCAAACTTAAATATTGCTAGTCCTTAGCAATGAACTTCAAAGTAAAGAAATGAAATGAACAAGTAATTAACTATGAACTAGAAAGCAATAAATGGATAACGCCACTTTCGTAGGGAACACGATTGCATTTAGTATATGCAACAAGCCTTTTAAACCCCTAGGTTACCCCTAGTGGACGAGTGAAGTCTCGTGAGGGTTTCTAGAAATGATATCCACAAATATTAAACTCATTCTTTCTAAAGAGGCACCAATATTGCAAACAAGTACTGGGAGAAAACTACTTCAAGAATGTAATTTTTCAAACATTTCCAAGCAATCTCCCAAAATCTTAACATTAAGCAATCAAGTATGGTCCTCCACACATCAAGAAAATGATCATATAAATCAAAACAACTCTAGAATTCTTTTTGAGTGGACCGGCATCAAATATGTTACTATCTTAACCAACTAAAGAATTAATCACATCCTTACCTTCAAACTAGCATACAAATCTAGTACCAATCATCAAGACAAAAAGTGGACCTTTTATTAAAGCTTTATTGTTCTAGGTGCACTTATTTTATTTTATTTTATTTTTAGGATCAAAAATGGAAGCATGGTGCAATGTGTTGATCTATTAAGCTTTCTAGCGATTCATGAGGTCGAGCGTTAGGTCAATGACTCCCAAACCAGACGGCTTTGGGACATTAGGCGTTCAAACACCCCTACGGACTTGCAAGCTCAAATCAATTAGGTTACAAATCAAGACAACCTCCATCTAATCATTTCCCACTTCTCACCTTTTGGGAGAAGTCCTCACTTTTTATTACTTTTGCTTTTGCTTTTTTTTTTTTTTTTTGTAAGTAAGTTCAATTATTAACCTAGAGTTTGGGCCCTCCACCTTTCGGCGCGAGAAGTTCAGTGCTTGATGAGGTTAGAATCTCGGTTACTTAGTGAAAATGGGTTGTTATCCACATTTATCAAGAATGAAAGCTTTCAATGCACTACTAGCTCAATTGGGATATAACCAATTCAATAATTAACAAAGCATGTATCCCACAAATGAATGCTAGTGTGCGTCTATGCTAGTGTAGAATACTAGAGTGAATCTCAAAATAATCACAAAATCATGATGATGTGGACCACAAATGCAAGCAAGATATTAATCTTTCGAAAAATTTACTCCTAAATGGCATCCACAAGGCATACAAGGAGTATTGGACTCTCAAGTCAAGCAATTTTTAAATTCTAAGCAATATAGTCCTCAAAAGATCAAAATCATCGCTAAAATAGATCCCAAATCTCAATCATACATTTAAAGTTCAACTTTAAGTAGAATGCAACAAAGTCACCTTACCCCCAAAATAAATCATTGCACATTGTCCTTAATGTGCAATGAGAACAATGGAAAAGATGGAAAGAGTATACCATGGTGATAAAGACATGAAGCTCGGCAATGATCCAATTCGAAAGATGCCTCCCCCAAACTTGGAATAAACAACCTACTTGAATAACCACACTAGCAAACTCATATCAAATATCAAATGGGATAAGAATAATCAAATCATGCATTCTAAGGCAATATAGCACAAGATGAAAGAGAGATATGAGATCAAGCCCTAGCTAAAGCATAAAGTGTGCATGACTACATATAAGGGCACAATGGTGAAAAGGTTTTATATTCTTCTTTTTATGAAGCAAATATATACAAAATGCAAGAAAAATAAAGAATAAAATGAATGAACAAAATATAAAAAGAAGAATAAAGAAAGTAAAATGCAATTAAAGAATATGTACAATGCAAGAAATGAAAAACAAAAAGTATGTACACACACAAAATAATGAAAAAAAAAGTATGTGCCATTTTTTTTTAAAACATGCAAAAAAAAAACGAAAAATGTAAGAAAGATAAAGAAATAAAAATAAAAATGAACATGTATGATACAAAAGATAAAAGACACATGTGTCATGTGGGTGCTAAGTTTAACGTCTCTAACTAGACGGAATGCTATATTGAAAAACCGTTTTTTTTTTTTAAAATTAAAAATTAAAAATTAAAGTTAAACAAAATATTTTTGGATTTTTTTGGAAATACGATAAAAGGAAATAAAATAAAATAAAAGAAAAGAAAAATATTTTTGGGAATTTTTTTTTTTAAAAAAAAAAAAAATTGAAAAAAAAATAAATCTTTGAAAGTAAAAATGAAAATAAAATAAAAATCTTTTTGGAGTTTTCGAAAATAAAATAAAATAAACAAAAATATTTTTGTATTTTTAACAAATTTTAAAACTTTTTTTTTTTATAAGAGAAAAGAGAGTAAATAAAATAAAAGAAATAACAAAAGTCAAAGAAGATGAAAAATAAAATAAAATAAAAATAGAAAGAAGAAAAAGTCAAAAATTCAAAGGGGCAAAGCTGTGATCCTAGTCCAGGTAATCATGAAAGACACGGTTGATTAGGTCCATGAATGCTGTTGGCGTATTAGTTATACCGAAAGGCATAATGAGAAACTCATAATGTCCATACCGTATACGGAACGCTATCTTTGGGATATCCTCATCCCTAACCTGTAATTGATAATAGCCTGACCTCAAGTCAATCGTCAAAAAATAACTGGCTCCCCTTAACTAGTCAAACAAATCATCTATCATTGGAAAGGGATACTTGTTCTTGATGGTGGCATGATTCAACTTCTGGTAATCAATGCACAACCTCAAAGAACCATTTTTTTTCTTAGCGAACAAGACTGGTGCACCCTACGGTGACAAAATCGGTCGGATAAAACCTTTCACCCTCAAATCATCAAGATGTTTCTTCAATTCTTCCAATTAAATAAGTGCCATACGATACGGTGCTATAAAAATCGGTGTGGTACCGGGCATCAAATCGATAGCGAACTCTACCTTTCGATATGGAGGCAACTCAGTCAAGTCCTCCGGAAACACATCTAGAAAATCACGTACAACCACTGGATAGTCAATCCCATGAAACTCAACATCATCATTGATAAATAGGCTAGCCAAGAAGAGCCCTTGACGATTCCGACCTCTAACACTATAAAATGAAGGAGTGAGAGAATCACACCGATCTCCCATAAAACAGAAACAATCCCCATTCGGGGTACACACTGACACTCTACCCCTGAAACAATCAATAATGATTTTGAAGAACGACAACCAGTCCATCCCAAGAATGACGTCAAACCCTGCCATCTCGAGAAGGATGAGATTGAACTCTAGTACCCGTCCGTCAATGGTAATGGAACAACCCCGACAAACTCTACTAAGAGTGACTAAACCCCCAATAAGCGTGTCAACACAAAGCGGTATGTCTAACTGACTGACCTTTAAAGCCAATGCTCGTGTAAATGATGAAGTGATGAAAGAGTAAGAAGCACCAGAATAAAACAATACTTGAGCCCAAGAATGGAACACAAGAAACATACCCCTGACAACTGAAGAACTGGATGATGGCTCGGCTGAAGTAACTACATACACATGACCCTGAGTCCTCTGCCCCTGAGAACCACCTACCTGATAACCTGACTGCTGAGTGGGTGCGCTTGAAGAAACCCCTCTGCTTGGTCGAGAACTCTGAGCTGTCATAGCTGGCTGAGATGACTGAGGTGGTAGTGGCAGTCAGAGAATAAGGTTGGATCAGATAATGAGGTTGGATCGATCAAACTTTGAGATTTTTGAATAGGAACAAATATGGCTCAGATCCATCTTGAAGTGCTAAGATCGATGAAAGTTAGATCAATCGAACTTTTCTTGAGATCGATCGAAGTTGCTGAAATTCTAACCTTTATTTCCTTTTACTCTACTTTGCTCATTTATTTGATTCATCCCAGAATTGCTTCATTTCTGTTCTTATTTGGCTGAGTTAGCTTATTTTGGGGATAAGTACCTGAAAATGGAAATAACACGAAATCAATAAAAAATGGTAAAATAAGATGGATAATGGTCCTAGAATACCTAAGCTTAAGGGGTTTAAATACGCACTTTTCAGCACTCATTACAGCCCCAAACTTAAATATTGTTAGTCCCTAGCAATGAACTAGAAAGTAAAGGAATGAAATGAACAACTATACAACTATGAACTAGAAAGCAATAACTGGATAACGCCACTTTCGTAGGGAACATGATTGCACTTAGCATATGCAACAAGCCTTTTAAATCCCTAGGTTACCCCTAGTGGATGAGTAAAGTCTCATGAGGGTTTCTAGAAATGATACCCACAAACTTTAAGCTCATTCTTTAAAAAGAGGCACCAATATTGCAAACAAGCATTGCGAGAAAACTAGCTCAAGTATGCAATTTATCTAATATTTCTAAGCAATTTTCCAAAATCTCAACATCAAACAAGCAAGTATTGTAACGACCCCACTCTACCACATGGTATGATATTGTCCGCTTTGGGCCTAAGCCTGCACGGTTTTGATCTTGGGCTTTACCCCAAAAGGCCTCATACCAATTGGAGGTGATACACTTACATATAAGCACTTCACCTTTCCTCTACCCAGGCAATGTGGGACTGTGCACCCATAGCTCGCCAGTGTGGTAGTCTGACAGTGTCTCTTGCACTTGCCCACGGCACACTCGCCCACAAGGTCATCACAATTTACCCCCCTTGGAGGCCCGACGTCCTCGTCGGCACACTTCCGGCTGGGTCAGGCTCTGATACCATTTGTAACGACCCCACTCTACCACATGGTATGATATTATCCGCTTTGGGCCTAAGCCCGCACGGTTTTGATCTTGGGCTTTACCCCAAAAGGCCTCATACCAATTGGAGGTGACACACTTACATATAAGCACTTCACCTTTCCTCTACCCAGGCGATGTGGGACTGTGCACCTATAGCTCGCCAGTGTGGTAGCCTGACAGTGTCTCTCGCACCCGCCCACGGCACACCCGCCCACAAGGTCATCACAGATAGGGCTTGGAAGAGGGTTAGATCGATCTGTGAAATCGATCTTCAAACCCTCAGGTTCATTTTTTTAAAAACATTCCCTTGCCAGTTCAATCAATCGAACTGAATCTCAGATTGATCGAACTAACATCGATCTCTCCTAAAAGTATTTTTGAGAAATTTTTTGAATAAATATATATATATATATATATATATATATATATATATTATTTTTATTTTTATTTTTTATTATTTATTTATTTATTTATTTTTATTTTTTTTAGAAAATAAAATAATAAATAAAATAAAATAAAATGACAATAAAAATTAATAAAATATTTTTTTGGAATTTTTGAAATTAAGAAATTAAAACAAAATCAAAGATAGTGAGATGAAATACAGAGATCGATCTGAACAAAATGTTCGATCTATCTGACAGAGAGCTGAAATATACAGGTTTTTGGTTTCAAAATTTTTTTAAGTGTTGGAACTCAAGATCGATCGAACTTGAAGTTTGGATTGATCTAAGGACTTATGATCGATCTGAGAACAAATTCGATCGATGGGACAGAGAGGTGATTTGGATGTCGGTTGAACGCGGGTCGAAAATTTTCTAAATGTTGGATGTAGATCGAAGTTCGATCGATCGAATCTTCCTTGGAGATCGATTGAACTTATGGAAAATGCTCAATTTCAACATAAAAGTGCATGCAATCGTAATCATAGTTCTTAACAATGCATATGAACCCAAAGCCAATATCTAGACTTCGCAAGAAATGAAATTAAAGATAGAAATGAGGGAGGAATAGGGTTGTGACACCCTACGAAATGTCTTGCTAGTCTTTAACGTCTCTAGCAAGACGTTGGGCTCTTTAGCTTGGATCAAACATCTTGTAGTGCATCCCCTCCTCAATGGGGTGATAAGTGCTTTGAACTCCACCCAACAAATGGTTCTTTAAGGAACTTGTTGGATTAAGCTCAAAAGACGTTTTCAGTCCTTGGTCAAGACAATCTTTGGGCTTCCACACCCTTTCAAAACAAGATTTTGAGATAACTTTCTTTGGTTTCAAGGTTGAAGATGGACTTTTTGAAACTTTGGTCTCACACAAAAACTCAATTCCTCCACTTTTGAGGTCCTGACATTTCTCTACAATATTAACCTCTTCATGCTTGTCAAATGAATTGGGGGTTGGATTAAAAATATTCAACTTTACCTTCATGTGGCCAAATAAAATTTTCATTATCCTCGTCCTACAATTAATGTTGGCATTCGCGGTTACCAAGAAAGGACGGCCAAGGATAACGGGAATTTGGCTCTTAGGATTTGGAACTGGTTCTGTGTCAATGACAACGAAATCAACAAGAAAGAAGAATTTATCAATTTTAATCAAGACATCCTCAATGATACCCCTAGGCTTTTTGATGGATCGGTCGGCAAGTTGTAAAATCACCGATGTTGGTTTCAAGTCTCTTAAGCCTAATTTGACATATATCGAGTATGGAAGAAGATTAACACTTGCTCCTAGGTCAAGAAGAGCCCAATTAATGATATGATCACCAATGATGCATGAAGTGGTAGGTGAACCGGGGTCCTTAAACTTTGGAAGGGTGTTATGCTGCAAAATTGAGCTCACGTACTCGGTTAAGACCACTTTCCTAGGTGTTTGGCTTTTGTTCTTCCTCTTTTGGATGCACAAGTCTTTCAAGAATTTGGCATAAGCCGGAATTTGCTTGATTGCATCCAAAAGTGGAAGATTTACTTTCACTTGCCTAAACACTTCCATGATTTCATTTACTTTGGCCTTTTGCTTGTCATTTGAAACGGATCCTTTTAAGGCATCCGGAAATGGAGCTTTTGGCTTAAAAATCTTTTCAAAATTTTTCTTTGAAGTCTCTTCAACACAAGAAGTTTTCAAATCATTTTGCAATTCTTTCTTTTCAAAATCACTTTTCAAATCACTTTTCAACACATTCTCATTTATATGGTCATGCACATGCAATGAAAGAGGAATATGATATGAAACGGGACGGGTGTCAACTTGTGGTTACACCAGTTAACTCTCTTCATTGGACATACCCACTTAGTTGTCCACAATCTTTCCACTTCTCAAGGTAGTCACCGCATTGACATGCTCTATTGTGTGACCTTCTGATGAGGAATAAGTCCCCACAACACATTATTGCTTTTGTGGGGTATTCAAAGGCATTTTTCCTTTCTCTCTTGTATTTAAAGTGCTAGCTATTTGCCCTGCTTGGGTTTCTAGCTTTACAATGGATTGAGAGTGAGAATGAAGTAATTGTGTATTTGACTCTAAAGTGCCCAAAGCGGTCAAAACTTTCTCTTCAAAAGCGGGACTTCTAACATTTCCTTGGGAATATGTTGATTTATTAGGAAAATGAGAATTAGAAAATTGGTTTCCTTGTGATTGGTATGATGATCTAAAACTTTGGGAACCTTGGCCTTGTAGTGGAGGTGGAATGTACTTTCCTTAAAAACCACCTTAGGAAGGGTTTGAGCCCTCCCCTTGGCTTTTCCAAGAGAAGTTCGGATGATTCCTCCAACTAGAATTGTAATGATTGCCATAAGGATTGTTCCCTTGATTCACAAATGTTGTATTTACTTGTTCATGACGCTCACTTTGCACATGTCCATGAGGACAATTAGAAGTAGAATGTAAAACACTTGAACAAGTCATACATGTCTCATTAGATGCATGATGAGAATGGTTAGGGAAGGAACATACTTGATTTGCCGAGTTTTGGTTGATCAAAAATTGATTAAACCTTTGAGATAATGATTTCATTTCGGTAGCAATTTCATTGGAGTGGTCGACTTGATGTAAGCCAACACTCTTCCTACCATTAAAATTTCTACCATTCTTTGAAGATAAAGTGCGATACAAAGAATTTTCACTCATGCTCTCATAAAGACATCACACGTCATCCTCATACCTATCAATGTAAGAGACACTCATGGAAGCATCATTCATGCCCTTGTAATTATCCGATAAGCTCTCAAAGAAATATTGAACTAATTGCCATTTGGTCATGTCATGATGTGGACACTTCCTAAGTAATTCATTAAAGCATTCCCATGCCTCATGAAATGTTTCCCCATCCCCATGTAAAAATTCTCGAATTGAGGTTCTTATGGCATTGGTCTTAGAAACCGGATAGTACTTATTTAAGAACTCTTATTATATTTCCGCCTAAGAAGTCATCAAAAAAGACCTAAGATTGTTAAACCAATATTTTGCCTTGTCTTTAAGGGTGAATGGAAAAATTTTAAGCCTTAAGACCTCTTTCGGCATGTTCGTGTATTTTACGGTGGAATATACTTCAAGAAACTCATCCAAATGCTTGTAAGGTTCTTCACTTAGAAGTCCATGATAATTAGGAAGCATTTGAATAGTTTGTGGTTTGATTTCATAGTGGTGTGCTCTAAATGGTGGCAATTGAATGCATGTGGGTACATTATATTCATTAGGCACATAGTGATCTCTTAAAGCAGGGGGAGGATTAGGAATTGGAAGTGTAACATGGGCACCTTGATTGCCTTGAATGATAGGAGGTGGTGGAGCATAGATTGGCCTTGGCATTCCCAATAGAACTTGGCCTTGTTGTTGTGGTGGATGAATATATGGCCTTGGCATGCCTAATGGAACTTGTATGTTATCATGATGCACATTGGGGT